TTTTTTTTTTTTTTTTTTACTATTAATAATTCCATTCTCTGCTACCCCACATTCCTCTCTGCAAGTCAGAACTTCAGAAGCTACTGAAACTACATACCCTTTCCCAAATCAGTGGGATTTGTTATATCAGAGCCAATCAGGTTAGTTTTACCTTAGCTACAACTAAGTCTTACGCAAATGTTCAAGCATTTTGCCTCCACCCACCTGTGTTCACTGAATACAGAGTTATCCAGAACTATTTTCTCCAGCAGTTCAATGAGCTCATTGGGAAGATCTGCAGTCATGAAAGCCTTTACGGTAACAGACACTTCTTCAGGGTCCTGAGTCTCTGACAGTGCAGTCTGCACAACCTATTGACAGATCAGTTAGGCCAGTCATTAAGCCACAGATTGGACTTCAGCCACAACTTGAGCTCTCATTAAAGGAGAATGAGGTTTGGGACCATACCTGGTCAATAAGTGGCCTTCTGTAAGGGTTGCTTTCCAACAGCACACTGGCCCACAACTCAGGGTCCTTGCGGCGAACTAAGTAACGTGAAAGGCTCTTGAAGAGGGAGTTTTCATTGCATACCTATAAAAAGGAAAAGAGGGATTAGCTTCAAGGTTCCTCAGACACTTCCACTGGCCCTGAAGACCGGAGTCTTTAGCCAAGCTGTTGCTTAAGCAGTGGTGCAAGGCAAGTCGGACAACATGCATTTTGGAGGTACTGCCAGAAGTTTAGCACTTTCTGTAGAATATTTGGGCCAGTTTCATTGAACAGGTTTGGTTATGGTACCAACTGCACCATAGTCCTAGGGCATTAGATACCATGTACACCAACAAACTGTCCACTTACAGCAAGACTCTCCCCCGCTTCCTTACACAGGCCTCTTTGCACTGGGGAGAATTTTGTAAGACTAAGTTGCCAACACTTACATTAATTAGCTCCAAGTCACACTGCCCACGCTCGTAAGCCACACAGGCCAGGTGAGGGTCTCTCTTCTCACAGTACTTCCCCACAACACGACTATCATAATAAGGATTCTCACGGAGAAATCTTTCTGGGTTGTTGTTGCTGTCTATGTATATTTTGGCTAGTGCATTGTGAGTAGCAGGCTCCTCACAACCCTCATGAATCCTTGCTTCCAACCACGGTAGAAGCAGTTTCAGCCTAAAAAGAAAAAAAGGACGTTTGAATAAGGCTGTAGGATCTACAAGCCTAAGATCTGCATCTTCCTTGTGAACTTGCAAAATTCTCCTTTTTACAGAGCAACAGAGTAAAGACAGGACAAGACATTCAACAAAAAACCCCAAACTAAAAGAGTAAAATCAGGCCTTCAAGCTTCCAGAGAGTTAGTCAACATGCTCAATGGAGGGAGGAATTTTCTGTGTCAGCTACCCCATACGGGACATTAGTGGAACGATGAGAGGAAGCTAAAGAATACCTGTTTCTTTTTTCTACTTCTGCAACAAGCTCATCAGTTGAGAACTGGCCTCTCACAACAAGAATCAGATTCTTTATAACATCTTCAGAGCAATCCACATCAAGCAGTCCCCCAATGACAACAGGAAGACGGCTTGGATTTACCTAAGACAAGAAAACTAGGTCAGGAAAAAGCAGGTTTGCTGGGAGCAAGCGCAGGAGGGGGGGCTACCCTTCCTGCCAAGCATGAAACAAAGATACAGGAGCACTGAACATCTTGATGGAAATTCAGCATTGAAGTTTTCCAGTAGTCTCAGCCCAGTGTTTGAAACCTACAGTATCTGCCCATCAGCTGATAAATTAGACAATACTAACAAGCCTTCAGAGCAAGAGGGCTAGTTGTCAATTGTGTTTCAGTTCTTGTGGGAAGGACTTGTTAGGCCATATTCCTTTGGGGGGGGGGGCAGGGTGTGTTGGGGTGCTGGCTCCTTCTGAAAGTTGGGTCATACAAGCTTGCGATTCTTTATTTGAAGTCCTCATGCCCAAGAATATGATCAAGTAGATTTGATGCACTCTAGGAAGGATGGTTCAAGGTAATCCCTAAAGTCTACCAGAATCAGCAAAGCAATTCCCTTATCCCCCTCCCCCCAACAGATGGAAGAAGCTGTTTAAAGTTAATTGCTGGCATACCATATGCCCCTTCCCCCCCCAATCAGCCCTCCAAAAAGGTGGGGTGCATGTCTTGAATAGGGAAGCTGATTTTCCTGCACCATGCTCTAGCAGCTGCATAAACAGCTCCTGCTCATCTTGCCCAGCAACCAGAATGGGGCAGAGTGCAGCGTTCATCCTCATAGCCACCAAGGAATTTGCATCAGTGATTCGCAGAACCCTGGAGTTCATGCTGCAGGTCACATGCCCTGAGCCAGCTCAACTGCTGCTCTGGGCACAGTCTGATCTTGATGAAGCTCAAGCATGGAAGTGCTTTATTTACAGGAAGTTAAACAGGCTTGTTACTGCCCTTCTGAGGGCTTGGGGCCATGGCTTGTTGCCCTCCTGCCATACCAGGAAGTTTCTGGTGCTTCACCCAGACCATCTCCTTAAAAAAAAAATGCCACACTTCTGGACACCATTTGCAGATGTTATCAGCTTTCCCAAGGTTCTAGGGAAAAAAAGTGACATTCTACCCTGTAAGAGGCATGTGCATACTTCCATGCCCCCAAATAAGGCATGTGAAATATGGTAATTTGCACAAGTAGGTAGAGATCAAACCCAGCAGTAAGCTAGGAGGTGGATCTGTTTGGGAGCTGGTTTTGGTGACAAGCTTGAGACATTGCCATTTCATATCTGCATCCATGAAGGTCCTCGTGACATCTAGATGCTACATTAAAGAGCTATTTTGGTAGATTAAGGCATCTTGAATAAATTTCAAGTATTCAAGGTCTTATTCTTACCTTCTGTACATAGATCTCTATATATTTTTGAAGACTGTTTCTGTACAGGTACAGTACCAGATCGTGGACAAAATCAAAGCGATCACACACAATGATAAGTGGTAACTGGTCAGTCAGTTTTGCTTCCTAAAAAAAAAAAAAAATAGGAAGGGGGATGTTATGAATTCCTTTATTTAAAAGTCTGCAGGTTGCAAAGTTAACAGGGCACATCTAAAATGACAAAAAGTTTGTGATCCAATACTAAACAAGTTATTGGAGTTTAGCTTGGGGAAGACCTAAACCAACAATCACATTGATTGCCAAAGATACCAATGGCATATTAGAAACTGCTTCTAGTTCCTTAGAAACTAAGGATGTGCGCCATATTGTAATAGTTTCACCAGCCCAATGCCAAGAATGCCAAAAAGCTGT